TTATCAGTTTTATGTTGTTAGGGCATTTAGTAGTTGTGGAGTTGTGTGACCGGTGGTCAGATCATTTCATCTGTGGGAGTGTGTCATTTATCAGCTTCCAGTGAAATCATACTTGCTCCTCGGCTGCAAGTTATAAAATCTACAGTCTTCATGTCCGCAACTTTGTCCTCTGCTGCTTGCATTTGATAAAACCGATTTATTATTTTTGTAAGTCACATCAGCCAGTACGTATTTATTTATTTATTGTAGATTTATTCATCTCTGTTGAATAGCAGAAATTAAGAATAAGGATTTACCACAACACTTAGGTTTATTGTGTAATGCATGCACAAGTATAATTCTATATATTTTTGAAGCTGGAACTTCACATTTTGGATTCTAACCTACAGGTGCAATTTCTACTAATTGCAATAATTCAGAAGGATACACTCCATTTAGCTTTTGTGATGTATTGTTATTCTGTGTGGCATTTTAGACTGGAAATTTATCCACGTGCTGTGCTCTGAAAGTACACCAAAAATTGTGTGCTGTTCATAGGACATCAGCAGTTTAATTGCTGAAAAATGTCCAAGTACATCCAGGAAAATTCATTTTCTTGCATTTTCTATTGCAGTCATTCAGGAATCCATTCAGAGATGTAGCTTAGGAGAGTGACATACATGGCTCATGAAGTAAAAATAATTGCTGAAAATCAATTATTATTTTTACCTTTCTTATATGTATCCTAAATCAACATGTGAACATGTTGGTTTGGTTTTTCTTTTAACTCTCATCCAATTGAATGTTTTCTTAAAGCCTTGAAGTTATGACACGATTCACTCTGTGCCATCCATTCTTGTTCTTAGGCTGAAATTTTTCACGTAAAATTAAAAGAAAAATAAGAGATTGGATGGATGAGAAACAGATTGTTGTCTTGCAAAAACACAAATCAGATGTCCATTTGTTTCAGCATTTCACACAGTGAAAGCAAGCATGCAATCAGATATTTCCCCCCTCTTGCTCTCCTCTGCTCTTCTCCTCTTGCTGCAGTGATTCAGGTCCTCATTTAACAAACAGGTAAAGCCTGTGTGGCTGTGAGGCCATTTCCTGAGCCTCACACAAAGATCACATCCTTGGACTTTTATGGGGGTTGGTGGTTCTGCATCCCATGTAGCAAATTCTAGGCAACGTTACAAAGGTGATACATATATTAATGCATGCTCTTTTAGTCTGTGGGGATTGAAAACCAGCCACAGGAAGGAGGATAGCTGATGAAATGCATTTCTTTTTTAGTGCAAGGAGTTCTATTTATTTATCATATTTTCTCGGTGAATTTTATTTCTGTCAAGATTGATTTTTCCTTTCAAACTGTAAGTTCAACAAGCATGCATTAATGGTACATTTTTGAGAAGTGCATACAATGTAACAGGCATCATCGTGTTGTGAGACAGAATGAAGTTAACACTTGGGATCATTGCAAAAAGAGTAAATAGATGCTTTCAAGAGATTATTATTTTTTTTAACCCTCTGCTAATAAATCTAATTGGAAGGGAAAAAGGATGTCACTGTGAGATATAGCAGGCAGTGGAGCTCCCTGACTGACACAACTGTAACTACCAACCAATGCACCCACGATTTGTGGAAATAATCACTTTGGAGAGCCTAAAGTTTTCCCAGACTCAGTCTCAGCTGAAGAATTATTTATTTTTTTTTCCCACAACTTACCCAGAATCTGTATGGTTTCAAAGAACAGGGAACACTCCTGGAGTGCTGTGAATCCTTTGATGTTGCAGAGGCAGCTGAGTTCAATTCAGCGCTGATTGGGCCATTTAACCCCACAGCCCAGCCTGGTATGGCCAGCTCTGCCTCTGCCGTGTTTCTTTCAGGTTTGTGGGGCAGAATGCAAAGCAAAACCTTCAATATAGCCCAAAAGCACTGAACATGATGCTGCTGCACTTCCCCCGACGGAAAATGTGCGTGAGGAAACAGTGTGCTTGAGCACATCCAAAGTGGAGATTCAGACAAAGGAAAAATAAATGTCAAGTTCTATGCCAAAGCTTCGTTTAGCTACTTCAGAGTTGTGTGTGTTCCTAGCTCATCCTCTTACAAAGTGGATTGGTAACACACAGCTGGAACTGTAGTGGGAGTTCAAGAAAATCATCTTTATATCGTGTCAGCATCTCACTGTCCAGGGTTCCTTAGCGTCCAGTAACCGCACTGTGAGCGTGTGGTGAGACAAGTGTTACCGGGTGTGCAAAATTTGGATTTCCTGATTTGATGATTTGCTGTGTATTTACTTTTATTATTAATTTAATCCAGAAGTTCTCCCTATGTGAAGACCTACCATACGTGTTAGCTTTCGCTGTGGTGGCAGCAAATAAATGCTTTCAGGGAAAACGTTTGTGGAAGTGGGAATACAATTAGCCCTTTTAAATCATACTCCATTAAGTATGGGAAATAGCAGGACTGCAAGTTATATTTTGACTTCTGTCTAAAACAAGACCTGTTGCATTTTCAAGATAACAGCTTATCATAACTAACCATTTTCAGCTTTAAAACCGTAGTGTTCCAGACTGACAAAAATAGTGTAACATCTGTCTCCATGAATTAAATCTGATTTGCGTTGGGTAAACAAACATTGAAGACTCTTGGCAGTTGTCTTTCTTCTATCCCTTGCTGTTGGTTTGTCCAAATAAACAACTTCAGAGATCTTCTGTGTGTCTTACCAGCTAAAATGGCATTGTACCCATCATGAGGCTCTTCTGAGATCGATGTGCAGGGGCTGCTGTTTTTCACTAGATGATAGTTCATTCTTTAATTCTACGACCATGCTTACCACAAGCAGTTTGCTAATTTCAGGACTGCTTGGGTTTTTCTTTATTGACAAAATTGAGTAATTGCAATCCCAGTAATATCAAAGTCATGACACACTGCCCTGTGGGCACTGCTCAGAGATTGCAAGGTGTTTTACATCTCTGAGAAGTCTCATTTCAAGACACAGATTGTGGCCCCAGACTCACAAACTTGATAGCATATGCTACAAGTGTATAGTGCCTGACTTTTGTATTTCATGACTTCAAGATGCCCGGCAGGTAGATGTTTTCTGCTCAGAGGAGATAAGTGTTACATGCAAAGTTCAAAATCAGATCTTCTGCACATGTGTGAAGTATTACACGCCAACATATGTACAGGAATTGCAATCAGACCTGCTCACTATCCGAGTGATGAAGAGCTCTCTGCCCCACGTATCATTTATCTGGCCAAGAGTTAACTCTGAACTGAGCGTGGGTCTTCCAAACGATGGAACTCTGCTTTGATGCTGAGCTCAACAAAATTATTTAGAGGCTGTTCTGACTTCCATGAGACAAAATTATGTGCCATGTCACTCATAAATCTAAGTTCACAAAAGAGAAGAAAATAAAGGCTATTTTTTTTATTGTTCTCAAGGGTTGGGCTTTTTTGGCCTGGTTTGTCAATAGCAGTTGCTGTCTTTATAACTTGCTGAAATCAGAAAACAAAGAATCAGCTTAGTTTTATTCAGAAGAGAGCAGCCAAGGAATTAACAACAACAGAAAATCTGGATTCTGTACTGATGGAGGAGAGCTCAGAATTAAGACTTGGACTGACCTGTCCAAGAACAGCACAGAGGACACTGGCATGGAAATGTGAGCTGAAAACTCATATGCTGGCGTGGGCTTCATGCTTCTCTAATGCTTCACCTGCATAGTTGGTCGTAAGTGCTAAAGCAATGCATCTTGACCTTGTTCTAAGGCTCAGTGAAGACTCTATGGAACTATTCAGCTTTAAAGCCTTTGCTAACCACGTGAAGACTCTTATTTGGCTGCACATCCGTGAAGCACATGTACTGCTGCATTAAAATCTCAAGTGCCTGTGGTTTCACAGCACATTCGTGCCAGGGCTGGAGAAAGGAATCCTCTCAACAAGTAATTCTTTCAGCTACCAGTTACACCTCTTCACTGACTACAGTTTCATATTCAGCCATCTAATGTAAGCCAAATATATACACAGTGTCCTTATTGCTATGTAAGATGCTCACATTGATCATCTGTATGAAAATATTCCAAGCATTACACGACCTGAAACCTTTACTTTTGCTCTCATCTTACTTCTGGATCATTGTAAATTTTCAGAATATTGACGTGAGATGCACACTCATAAATGTCAGATCCATTCATTTGGCAGGGCAATGGCAATCTCACTTTCAGTATTTCAAGCTTGATTTTTCATTTATTTTAGCATGAAGATTTTGTATTGATTACCACGGGTTGTACACTCGTTCTGTGCACAGCTTTTCTTTCCTGCACAATGTCACTAAAGGAAATCATTTAACTGCTGAGCCATTGTTCTATCTGATAGGTAAAAGTGAGAAAATCTACTCCAAATAGATAGAGGTTTTCATTGGATGGTGTCAGTGGCTCTGTACTGCGTTCACAGAAGACTTTCTTTTTTGCTATTGCAGAGACAGAAGTGTTTACATGAAACTGGTGATTTGTTTGAGTTCTGTTTTGTTTGTGTCACTTCATTTATCTGAGATAAAATACAGTTAATACAGGAACACAGAAAGGGAAAAGAGATTATAGAGTAATCTCTGAATTGTATAGGTTAGTAAAGCAGCACAGTGTTATAAAGGCTCCCATGGCTTGTATGTGTGGTGAAAGACAATAATTATTTAGAATATACTTTACTATGCCCGTGTGGTGCCCAGCATTGTAAATGTAAGATTCTGGTGAAAGGTAATTTTGCCAAGTCCTTTAAGAACTCTTACAGGTAATCATCTGAGCTGTAAGTAAGGAGTCTCAGCTCTGGTTTTGGAATTATGTCAGTCAACTGTACCATACATGGCCATTTTAGCTCATTGCATAGTTTAAGCAAAAGGTTCTGATATGGCAGAAAAGTTCATATTCATATACCATAATTCCTATTTCTTGAATTTAAGACAAGGATTATTTTTATTCTGAGTAACACAGTTTTTATTGATTTCTTTGTTTCCTCAAATACAGGTCTGCAGGCTGCAGCGTCACCTATCAGCAGGAAACTACCAGCTGAGTCTGTTCTCAAACCAGCCTGTGATGTTTGTATCTCCCACCAGCCAGCCACCCTGCAAAAAGCTGATGGAGCTTATAGAGCTGTCAGGAGGAAAAATATGTAAGGCCCTACGTCAGGCAAAAATCTGCATAGGAAAATACCCAGGGAAGAAGTACCAGGAAATAAAATGTTTATCAGAAAAATGGATTTTAGGTAAGATGGAATCACAGAATCGCAGAATGGCCCAGGTTGGAAGGGACCTCAAGGATCATGAATCTCCAGCCCCCCTCCACAGGCAGGGCCACCAACCTCCCCATTTAATGCTAGACCAGGCTGCACTATCCTTCATATACACTATACTTTAACACATATAAAACATTCGGGCATATGTATTCAAAAATTGGTTGTAAAGAGTTTACTAAACAGAGGTTTTGGAGAGAAGGAAGTGAAAGCACTGTTACCAGCAGGCTCCCAGGAAGACTGTCTCCGTGGCGAGGACTTTCTGTCAAAACTAACACTACTTTATGATGATCCTGCTAAACACCATTGTAATTTTACCAAGAAACAATTTAATCCAAAGATTTTCAAATTTATCTTGTATGTGACTGCTTCATTTAGAACAAACTAGAAATGGGAAAACTCCGTGCAGAATTACTTTAAAAGGCACATATGCCGATGAGCTGCATGGAGCTGGATGGGCCAAGCTGAGCCCGTCGGGGGAGCTGAAAAACTGTGTATCCCTGTGTATGCAGAGAGTCTCACGCATCAGATAAAGGACTGAATTCTTTGTGCCTTTCACAGATTTCTCAGATTTCTGTTGCATTCTGACATGTGCTCTGTATAATTGCTGTATTCTGCCCACGCAGACGGATTTGACACGATGAATCTGCGGAACTTGTAAAACATAAGTGTTTCTATATAATACCTTACCAGGTACAGGTCCTTGAAACCTAGCCCCTTTCTCAGTAACATAATCATACAATAATAAAAGCAATGACAGCCTGTCCCTACAAATTGTCATCTTAATCAAATAAATCAAGCCAAATCTGAAGTTTTGTCTTCTCTCTGACACCTCAGTGTTACGATCCAGTACGTTTGTGGTTTTGTGCTGCGAGCACCAACTGCCAATAAATTCACTCAAAGGTGACCACAACAAAAAGCCAATAGGTAAATAATGCTGCACCTTTGTTAAACTTAAGCAAATTGTGTTTGCACTATTATCATCTGACTGCATTTACTCTTACCGTCTTTCTCTGTCTGTTTTAGATCAGAAATTGCTCTGAAATTCATTACTGCTTTACAATCTGTTTCTTGTGCACTTGATCTCAAACAATCCTGCCTTTTTATTTCTTCTAGATTCAATCACTCAGCATACAGTATGTCCTATGGAAAACTACATTTTTCAGCTGTGAGCTAACTCAAGAGCTTCCATATGGCTGTAAGGAAACAAGCCCACTTTGGCCTCAACAACTAAGCTGTGAATAAAATTTCTAAGAGAATGCTAATTTCGTATTTATAAAAATGTTTTTATATTTTTATTATTTCTGAAAATGATGATTTTTGTTTCCTTTTAATAAAGTTCTTTGATAAAAGTCATCATGCTTCCATTTATTTGTTGAAGAACCTTTGGACCCAAATGTTGAGTGAGTCATTACTCACTGGGAGGAAGTGGAAAGATGCTTCCCAGTGCCTAAGTGGATTTGATCCCGTTAAGGTGCAGGTAACTGTTTGTGCTGTATGTGCACTGAGCGTGTGCTGGAGCTAGCTTTGGTGTAGTCAGCAGGAGCTGTGCTGCCAGAGAATGGATTCCATAGGGTCCCACTTGGACAGCTGTGTTTTTATGAATCATAGAATGGCCTGGGTTGACAAGGACCACAGTGATCATCTAGTTTCACCCCCCTGCTATGTGCAGGGTCACCAACCGCCACAGTGGCTGCCCAGAGCCACATCCAGCCTTGAATTCCTCCAGGGATGGGGCATCCACAACCTCCTTGGGCAGACTCACACCTCCCATTGTAAAGTTCTAAATTATATTTTCAAAAAATAATTGAAACTCAGTAAATATGGTGAGGTGCCTTTAAATGCCTCACATCCAGGCTGAAACTGTGAACAGCTACTGACTCTGATTCAAATGAATTAAGGCAGCACATACATCATGCATACACTATTGAAAATCACTTATCACTAAATACTTCGGGTATGTTTGAAAAATGTATACAAGTGTCCTAACAGTTAAAATTCTCTTCAATCTGTATATTTGTTTCCAATAGGTGTAAAGATTTGGATATAAATTATGTTGTGATGCGTGTTTAGCTATAAAGGCACAACTTTCTTTAAATATTTACACGATCCATCACAATAATGTACCATCGTTGCAGAGAATAATGTGTTATCTGGTAAGTTAATGGCAGCTCATAACACATGCCTTCCAAACTCCATGCTCCCCAGAGTACTGTCAAACCATGGAAAACGTGCAGTGAAGATAATGATTTCAAACGAATATTATGGAACCACCAAAGTACGATTTATAAATACTGCCGTTCTATTGCGTTGCTACAGCTTCTTGGACCTGGAATGGAATTGCAATGCACCTTTCCTTTAAACATGAGGGCTATCCAGGTTTTTTCTTCAGAGGTCCAGCAGTGTCTGAGTGGCAGGCTGTTCAGTCCCAGATTAGCACAGATACTCTGTAAATACGTTACCCATTTTACACATCATAAACGTATAACAAAAGCTTCCCACAATAATGGGAAAACTCCGAGTTAAGATTATATTAGGGAGAATTAAACTGGCTTTATTTTCAGAAATACCGAGCAGCTGCAATTCAAAAAGATGAGATCTTGTTTTCAAATATCCAAGTAATGCAGAGCTTGTTTTAGATACAAACTGGGAAATATAATTAATTTGGGTCTTGCTTGGTGTTCTGACACGCACATTCTTAACAGCGTCTTACCTCAGAAAAAAATATGTTTGATACCAGAATTAATGATCAGGTTCCTTTGCAAATCCAACTGCTTAAAATTGAAACTATTTACCTAAAGACTGCAGAGCACTGGCAACACGGTATCACTCTTCACCCTTGACCTTATGAGCCCCTTTATTAAGAAATCTGTTGCCAAGGCCTGTAGACCAAAATAGAAATACTTAAATAAGTTGTGACATGTGAACATACGGTTCCCAGTAAGTAACAGAACCATTTGTTTGAATTATACTGCTTAACTTTGAGTATTACGACCTCCTAGTTTATTTTGCAGTCATTTCCTAAGTGTACTACACATAGAAATCTGTCACTATTAATTTATACAATGTAACATTCCAAATTGGTTTTCTCATAAATCTTCTTAAGATGAATCTCAACTATTTAAATTGTAAATTCTTGGATCAACATGTTGATCTTTATTAGTCACACGTGTAACAGACTTGACTGTAAAAAGTCTAATATACTTTTGTTTTAACTAAAATGTTTCAATCTATCAATTGAGATAATTTCCATTTACATTTACATGATTTGCTAGATATCCCTGTGTCTGTTGACTGCTCTTGCAATGTCTGTTTAGGCAAATGTAGCCATCAGGAAATTAAATGCCTAATATTGGTCTTGTGGTTGGTGAGAGAAGAGCTGTGCAGCCATATTGTCTGTTGGTTGGTAATAGGACATAACAAATGTAGGAGTGATTAGAATTTCAAAGACAAGCATGTTGTACAAGCAGCAAAATGAATTATAGACTCATAGAATGGCCTGGGTTGAAAAGGACCACAATGATCATCTAGTTTCAACCCCCCTTCCATGGGCACAGCCGCCAACCACCAGACCAGGCTGCCCGGAGCCACATCCAGCCTGGCCTTGAATGCCTGCAGGGATGGGGCATCCACAGCCTCCTTGGGCAACCTGTTCCAGTGCGTCACCACCTCTGTGTGAAAAACTTCCTCCTAATATCTAACCTAAACCTCCCCTGTCTCAGTTTAAGCATTCATTTTCTATAGCCCGGAGCCTTTCACATGAGCAGCTTCTGATCTGTTTACCTCAATGTGGATTCTTGAACACCTCAGCTCCGAAAGGGAGACGCACTTCTACTCCAGACCTCAGCAGAAGAGGCCAGTGCTGACTGTTCCTTACGTCAGCAAACTCCAGAGGGAGAATGATGAAAATTTGCCCAATGTTTCATCTGCCAGAAGAAATCAGCCAACCAAAATAAACTTGCACTTGATACCAAGCTCAATAAGTACAACAATAAGCCAGAAAAAAAAAAAAAAAAAAAAAAAAAAAAAAGGCACAAAACCCATCAGCATGGAATGGATTCACAGATAGTTCTGAGCTGATTGGCTTTAAGATCTTCCCAAAGCGCCATACTTCGCTGATGTTCTGCCACAGCTCAGCCCTGCTGCACACTGCAGCACTGAACTCTATCAGGCTTGCCCTAGAAGCAAGCTGCTTTTTTGTTTTCAGTCAGGCTTTTCTGTGGGGGAAAGGTTTTCTCAACCTCAGCCTGTTTTTACCCTGCATGAGTGTCTTTGCCATTCACTTGTGAAAATGGCTTAGCTGCTATCTGTGCTTCTCAGGGCTCCCACACCCAGCCTATGCAACGTCTCCAACCAAATCACATTGCCACGATTAAAGAATCATCTTAGTTAGCTTATTTTGATGAGGAATCTGTTCAAACCAAAAATAAACAGAAAAAGCCAAAATAAGTATTATTCCTTCCTGAGATTTACGTTGGCTGAGTTTTTCTCCTTCCTCTGTTTTTGTAATCAGTTTTAGATTGCAACTGCATTTAGGATGCATACATTGAGTGAGTAAAAACGGTACATTCACAGCGATCCTGGCTTATGAACCATCTGGTGTTGGTCATTAAAATACACCTTGCTGAGCTACTTTTATGCTTCTGGAAGATTTCCTGATCCATCCATGGGCAGCTTTTCTGGGGTTGTTACTTTTTCAGTAATAATAGCCAGCAAAAATTATTGCATCACTTGAATTTCAGTTTGCAGTTCCACCATAAGAAGCTTCTGTTCTATTAATTGATCTGTATAAAAGATAGCTTATATAAAAGATATAGCTTATATAAAAGATGGCACAAATGCATTATGTAGGAAAGTGTTAACAGTACATTTAGTCCTAGCATATGCATTGCTCTTTTTTTCCCTTTTTTTTTAAACTTTTTTTTAATGTTTTTTTTTTTTTACTGATTTTTAATCATTTATTGTTATTACTATTACTATTATTATTGGTGTAGCATCTAATCAACTTAGAAGCTTTAGAGTTCCTGAAACTGTATTTCTGTCATTTGTAGAGCATAAGATAAATGTATCCAAGAACCAATATCTAGAAAACTGATTAAACCATTTTTTTCCTCAAGAGCAACTCACAGCCCCAAGGAAAAAAAAAAATATATATATATATATTCACTCTGACTGGAAACTGGAAAGCATGAAAACTGTGTCTGTGCCAGCGGTCTGACTTCTTTAATGACAGATCTAATAAGAGAAAGCCAAATGACCGCAGTTCTAGTGCATTAGATTTTTATTCCCAATCTCCTATTATTGCTGTTTTTCAGAATCAGCTCTTTGCATGACACAACCAAATGGAGGACTGTGGAAGAGCATCGCCCCCGCTGCAGCATGGAGCAGCAGCTCAGGGCACGATGGTTTCAAACTGCCAGTGCTAATAGATAACAGCTGCTGCTGGGCTTCTCAGCACCGGTGCCTGCTTTTGCTCTGAGTTAGCAAAGCAATGTTTCTCTTCTGCTGACACAGGTATGGAACAAACCTCCAGGCACCACAGAGCAGCTCAGGCTCCTGTGCAGAGCTGAGGTATTGATGGGCAGCTGCCAGATATAAGGTAAGGTAGGACTGCAGGTTTCTTTGAGCTGAATAAATCAACATCTCCCAGAGGGACCCTCAGCAGCTGGGGCCCACTGCTGGGGATGGAGCCCTCCTAGCTTATGAGACCTGAACCTTCACACGACTTCTTCCATCCCAGCCCATCTTGTTTGCCTTGTAGCTTCTGTTCCTAAAGCACCTAATCTACCACCAGAGACAGAGCTGTCCCTTGGAGGTCATTTCCCGAGGAGATTTATCAATGACCAGAGTGCTTTCCATGTTGTTTTCCAATCTATAGGAATTCTGCAGTTACAGGTGTTGGTGCAGATGTTGGTACTGCTGGTCCAGACAGGCTTGGAGTTTGTTTCTTCCTTTTTCGTGGCAGATTTAATGGAGTTACACAGCTATGGCTTATCAGAGAGAAAAAAACCTAGGTCTTTGGGGAGGAGTGTGCAGAGGGAGCTGGTTTCAAAATACTGTCGCTTGACCTGATCTTTTAATATCAGCCCCAGCAACTGGAGCTGAAACTTGGAAACTCGTCAGTAAGGAGATACTTTCTGCCATACATGGGTGTCTTTTACGACTGTGCTTTCTCAAAACCATGGATAATTAAAGATATATGCTTTCAAAGTTGCAGCAGATAGCTTTTCACTGAGAGTTGTTACAAAGATGACCTCG